TGTGTAGGTCTACAATCTTGTCCCTGACATCCTTGGAGAGCTCTTTGGTCTTGGCCATGGTGGAGAGTTTGGAATCTGATTGATTGGTTGCTTCCGTGGACAGGTGTCTTTCATACAGGTAACAAACTGAGATTAGGAGCACTCCCTTTAAGAGAGTGCTCCTAATCTCAGCTCGTTACCTGTATAAAAGACTCCTGGGATTTATATCATTTTTGACATGCGTTCTTCTGGATTTTTTTGTTGTTATTCTGTCTCTCACTGTTCAAATAAACCTACCATTAAACTTATAGACTGATCATTGCTTTGTCAGTGGGCAAACGTACAAAATCAGCAGGGGATCAAATACTTTTTTCCCTCACTGTATTAACAAATCCTCTATCACTTAATACATGTATTATGTTATTAAGCTTAATCAATGCCATTTATATTTAAGTTGTTCTTGACTTACTGAGAAAATAGATTACAAATAATACAGCCAAATTATTTTCCAAAATCCCAAAAATAAATGCATCAACAAATTGGGGGCATGGTGGTCATCAAATCAAGCCAATGGTGCGCGTCGCCAGCCCGGCCCGGCCTGTTCCTGCCCCTCGCACCAAGCCAGTGGTGCGCGTCGCCAGCCCGGCCCGGCCTGTTCCTGCCCCTCGCACCAAGCCAATGGTGCGCTTCGTCAGCCCGGTCCGGCCCGTCCCTGCTCCCCGCACCAAGCCAATGGTGCGCGTCACCAGCCCGGCCCGGCCTGTTCCTGCTCCCCGCACCAAGCCTATGGTGCGCGTCGCCAGCCCGGCCCGGCCTGTTCCTGCTCCCCGCACCAAGCCAGTGGTGCGCTTCGTCAGCCCGGTCCGGCCCGTCCCTGCTCCCCGCACCAAGCCAATGGTGCGCGTCGTCAGCCCGGTCCGGCCCGTTCCTGCTCTCCGCACCAAGCCTGTGGTGCGCATCGTCAGTCCGGCACAGCCTGTGCCTGTTTCACCGGTGCCTGGTCAGGTACCGGTCAGCTGCTCCACACCGGAGCCTAAGCAATCCGCTCCACCGATGTCCAGTCCAGCTCCAGCCAGCGGGGCCAGACCAGACCAGGGGCGCTACGGGGGGGTTGTTAGAGGGTGGTGGTCACGCCCGGAGCCGGATCTGCCTCCGAGGAGGAATGCCCACCCGGCCCCTCCCCTGTTGGGTTTATGTTGGCGCAGTCGCAGTCCGCGCCTTTGGGGGGGGGGGGGGGGGTACTGTCACGCCCTGGCTCTGGGGACTCTTGTATGTTGAGCCAGGGTGTTAGTTTCTTTGTGTAGTGTCTATGTTTCGTTTTCTATGTTTCTGTTCTAGGTTATGTGTTTCTATGTTGGCCGGGGTGGTTCTCAATCAGAGGCAACGTGAATCAGCTGTTGCTTGTTGTCTCTGATTGGGAACCATACTTAGGCAGCCTGTTGTGCACTTGTGTTTTGTGGGATCTTGTTCCGTGTAGGTTTGTGTATGACCGAGGACTTCACGTATCGTTTTGTTGTTTTTGTTGTATTTGAAAAGTACCTATTAAAGTATGTACTCATATCACGCTGCGCCTTGGTCCACTTTTCATGACGAGCGTGACAGAAGATCCCACCAATACAGGACCAAGCAGCGTGTCCAGGAGCAAACGCCGGAGGTAACGTTAGTAGATGTCCTCCTCGGTTGGGGGCAGATCACGGAGGAGGAGGCCGTCCGTTACCGGAGGGCGATGAAGGGGGAGACCCAGGCAGGAGAGGAGAAGCGGCGCCAACCGGGCCGTCGTCGGACAGGCGAGAGGCACCCCCAATAAATTGTTTGGGGGGGGCACACGGCATGGACGACGGGGCTGCTGGAGGTAGATAAAGGGCGAGTTTGTGGATGAGGAGAGAAGGCCACCAGGTTACGGGGGCCATTGGTCAGTAGAGGGAAGGAGAGTGTAGAGGCACGGCGAGAGGTACTGAGGTGTGTTACCAGTCCGGTCTGGCCCGTTCCTGATCCCCACACAAGGCCAGTGGTGTGTGTTCCCAGTACGGTCCGGCCTGTTCCTGTCCCTGGCACCAAGCTTGTGATGCGCGTCGCCAGCCCGGCCCGGCCTGTTCCTGCCCCTCGCACCAAGCCTGTGGTGCGCGTCGCCAGCCCGGCCCGGCCTGTTCCTGCCCCTCGCACCAAGCCAATGGTGCGCTTCGTCAGCCCGGTCCGGCCCGTCTCTGCTCCCCGCACCAAGCCAATGGTGTGCGTCGTCAGCCCGGTCCGGCCCGTTCCTGCTCTCCGCACCAAGCCTGTGGTGCGCGTCGTCAGTCCGGCACAGCCCGTGCCTGTTTCACCGGTGCCTGGTCAGGTACCGGTCAGCTGCTCCACACCGGAGCCTAAGCAATCCGCTCCACCGATGTCCAGTCCAGCTCCAGCCAGCGGGACCAGACCAGGGGCGCTACGGGGGGGTTGTTAGAGGGTGGTGGTCACGCCCGGAGCCGGATCCGCCTCTGAGGAGGAATGCCCACCCGGCCCCTCCCCTGTTGGGTTTATGTTGGCGCGGTCGCAGTCCGCGCCTTTGGGGGGGGGGGGGGGTACTGTCACGCCCTGGCTCTGGGGACTCTTGTATGTTGAGCCAGGGGGTTAGTTTCTTTGTGTAGTGTCTATGTTTTGTTTTCTATGTTTCTGTTCTAGGTTATGTGTTTCTATGTTGGCCGGGGTGGTTCTCAATCAGAGGCAACGTGAATCAGCTGTTGCTTGTTGTCTCTGATTGGGAACCATACTTAGGCAGCCTGTTGTGCACTTGTGTTTTGTGGGATCTTGTTCCGTGTAGGTTTGTGTATGACCGAGGACTTCACGTATCGTTTTGTTGAATTTGAAAAGTACCTATTAAAGTATGTACTCATATCACGCTGCGCCTTGGTCCACTTTTCATGACGAGCGTGACATCTACATATACACTACCGATAAAAAGTTTTAGAACACCTACTCATTCAAGGGTTTTTCTTTATTTTTACTATTTTCTACATTGTAGAATAATAGTGAAGACATCAAAACTATGAAATAACACATATGGAATCATGTAGTAACCAAACAATTGTTCAACAAATCAAAATATATTTTATATTTGAGATTCTTCAAATAGCCAGCCTTTGCCTTGATGACAGCTTTGCACACTCTTGGCATTCTCTCAACCAGCTTCACCTGGAATGCTTTTCCAACAGTCTTGAAGGAGTTCCCACATATGCTGAGCACTGGTTGGCTGCTTTTCCTTCACTCTGCGGTCCGACTCATCCCAAACCATCTAAATTGAGTTGAGGTCGGGGATTGTGGAGGCCAGGTCATCTGATGAAGCAATCCACCACTCTCCTTCTAAAATAGCCCTTACACAGCCTGGAGGTGTGTTGGGTCATTGTCCTGTTGAAAAACAATGATAGTCCCACTAAGCCCAAACCAGATGGGATGGCGTATAGCTGCAGAATGCTGTGGTAGCCATGCTGGTTAAGTGTGTCTTGAATTCTAAATATATCACCGACAGTGTTACCAGCAAAGCACCTCCTCCTCCATGCTTCACGGTGGGAACCACACATGTGGAGATCATCCGTTCACCTACTCTGCATCTCAAAAAGACATGGCGGTTGGAACCAAAAATCTCAAATTTTGACTCTTCAGACCAAAGGACACATTTCTACTGGTCTAATGTCCATTGTTCATGTTTCTTGGCCCAAGCATGTCTCTTCTTATTATTGGTGTCCTTTAGTAGTGGTTTCTTTGCAGTAATTAGACCATGAAGGCCTGATTCACACAGTCTCCTCTGAACAGTTGATGTTGAGATGTGTCTGTTACTTGAACTCTGTGAAGCATTTATTTGGGCTGCAATTTCTGAGGCTGGTAACTCTAATGAACTTATCCTCTGCAGCAGAAGTAACTCTGGGTCTTCCATTCCTGTGGCGGTCCTCATGAGAGCCAGTTTCATCATAGCGCTTGATGGTTTTTGCGACTGCACTTGAAGAAACTTTCAAAGTTCTTGAAATGTTCCGTATTGACTTACCTTCATGTCTTAAAAGTAATGATGGACTGTCGTTTCTCTTTGCTTATTTGAGCTGTTCTTGCCATAATATGGACTTGGTCTTTTACCAAATAGGGCTATCTTCTGTATACCACCCCTACCTTGTCACAACACAACTGATTGGTTCAAACACATTAATAAGGAAAGAAATTCCACAAATTAACTTTTAAGAAGGCACACCTGTTAATTGAAATGCATTCCAGGTGACTACCTCATGAAGCTGGTTGAGAGAATGCAAAGTGTGTGCAAAGCTGTCATCAAGGCAAAGGGTGGCTATTTGAAGAATCTCAACAACAACAAAAATGTTGAACACTTTTTTGGTTATTACATGATTCCATATTTACATTTACATTTATGTAATTTAGCAGATGCTCTTATCCAGAGCGATTTACAAATTGGTGCGTTCAACTTGCACCTATGTTATTTCATAGTTTTGATATCTTCACTATTATTCTACAATGTCGAAAATAGTAAAATTAAAGAAAAACCTTGAATGATTTGGTGTTCTAAAACCTTTGACCAGTAATGTATTTATTTTTGTTGATGAGATAGGCAGTGTTATTTGATCGCAAGATAGTTGCCAGAAAACAGATATTGGCTTGATCAAAAGGAGTGGAGATGCCGGGGATTGAACCCGGGGCCTCATACATGCAAAGCATGCGCTCTACCACTGAGCTACATCCCCCTGCTGAATAACATCGTGAAGTGTACCATTTTATACTGTGAATTCTGAGCTTTCGGGTTTAGTAGAATACAAAGGTTTATAGTGTAGAATGAAACTATGTGCACCTTTCTGTTGTGCGCGCCTTTGTTCCCTTCCATGTCTTGCTGCTAAACATGATTGTTACAATGTATCTTACATGTACTATTTACTAGCGTAAATTGCTACATTGTTTCATCTCACGGCGCTCTGATAAACGCCAATTTAAATGTACTGCCACCGTGCGGTATGTGGAGGTATATCCTCGGGTTCTCGGCTTCCGGTCTTTGAGGAAACGTTAGCATAGCCCTTATAGTCTCTGGCTTTAGATGCAACAACACCATGGCCGACAAAGCACAGATACAAGAGGCGATTAAAACACAAGGAGAAGTCGTGCGGAAACTGAAGACAGAAAAAGCCAGCAAAGAACAGGTCAGTGTTCAACGCCAAGCACGACGATGTTCCTAAATGTTTTACGTATAGCGGGACTGGGATGGGATGAACAGACACGCGTGATACATATGTCATGAACGAAGCTACCGGTAGTTAGCTATAGCTATCTAATCATGCCAAAATACGGGCCCTTGCCTGTTCACCGTCAGATGAATGAATGGCAAATGATATTGCCAGTTCAGTTAGATGTGGGATTTCATGGCTATTACAAAGTAAATCATGAATGCAATTTTTCTGATGCATGTTAGTTAATAATTTTGCTTCAAGTTATACAGCTAGTAGAAGCTAGTTACCAATCCAAACTGATGCAATCCCCTTGTAATTTGGCACATTTAGCAAGATAGTTGTCACTATGCATGGGCTGGTCATTCGTTGTGTATAATTCAACATGTTTTCGTGCCTGTGTAAATTCATGGTTCCTTTTAATGGCTGAATGTTGAGCGTCCAGAGGTAGTTTTGGGTTGTGTTAAAAGCACACAATTTCTTCCGTGACTACTGAACACTGTACAACGCTTGTCAGGTCTAGGGGTAGTTCTAGTCTGATTCCCGCCCCCACCCATGTCTCTGGGCTGTGATAGGCCGGTTGGTTTGATTGTGGGCTGTGATAGGCCGGTTGGTTTGATTGACCCCTACCTCTCATGTTTTGTCCTCCATGTTGTGATGATGCGTCATGCCCGCCCTCCTCCCTAGTGATAGGGTTGCTCACCACTTTTCTCCTGTTCTTCCTGCTCGATGCCAACAACCCTGCTGGGGTCATACCTTCATCTACGTCCTTCATCTACCTCCTCCTCTATCTCACACGTCACCATTTGGAATCCAAACACTCCCGACTGGATATTCCTGGATAATCCTGCGTTTGGATTGGATAACCCTGCGGTCACCTGGCATTCACGGACTGTTATTGGACAACATGGCATGGTGGACTTTACCATTGGACTGTATTGCTGCTCTGATGCTGAACTCCTGAACGGCCATTTTGGTTGTTTTTCATTTGATTTTGTTTTGCTTTCCCTGCTGGGATGATTAACCTGGGTATGGTGTCCCTGCGTCTTTGTGCGGGGTTGGCGGGCCGTCGGTCTGGATTTTGTGCCTGCTCTCTACGCACCCTCTCTGGGTTGACTGTGTCTCAGGTAGGACCCTGACTCTGGAGGGTGGGATGGGGGAGGATCTGTTCAAGGTCCTGATGAACGTTGAACTGTGTTTGTTTGTTTCTTTCCTAGATTGATGAGGAAGTGGCTAAACTGCTAGAGCTGAAGGCTCAGCTGGGAGGAGATGAAGGCAAACACCAATTCACGCTCAAGACTGCAAAGGTAAATACTGCCACCATGGGGAGTGCACCTCACAGGCAGTGGAGGAACATTAAGATAACTTCTTGCATAACACTACTACTACTAGTCTTTATTTAAAATCTAAATCAGCAGGTGATGTATTGCTTATGCACTCTTTCTCTTCCTCCATCTCTCTCTCTCAGGGAACCAGGGACTATAACCCTAAGCAGATGGCCATCAGAGAGAAAGTCTTCAACACCATCATCAGCTGTTTCAAACGCCACGGAGCCGAGACCATCGATACACCCGTCTTTGAGCTGAAGGTGTGTGGAAGGCACACAGAGACGCACGCTCACACAGAGACACACACAATGTTGACAATGAATAGAAAGTGGTAAACTAGCCCGTGGATTTGTAATACATCAGGATTTTGTGCTTAGGTGACAATTTTCTCCCATCTATGGTTTTGAAGGAAACGTTGACGGGAAAGTATGGTGAGGACTCTAAGCTCATCTACGACCTGAAGGACCAAGGAGGAGAGCTGCTGTCCCTTAGATATGATCTCACTGTATCCTTGTATTAGTCCTGATTGCATACATTGCTAAGTGGGCTAGCCTGCAAGCTGGTCAGTTAATTCCCTATGTTTTTCATGGTCATGCCTCTAAAGCAAACCAACTGTATGTCCCCTGGTGGGTTTTAACCAGGTTAGGAACCAATCAGGTGTCTACTAGTCCTTGACCCCACCCCCTCCCAGGTGCCTTTCGCCCGTTACCTGGCCATGAACAAGGTCACCAACATCAAGCGCTACCACATCGCCAAGGTCTATCGCCGTGACAATCCCGCCATGACACGCGGCCGCTACAGGGAGTTCTATCAGTGTGTAAGCATCAGAGCGATGAGTGACCGGGTGACATGCAAACCCTGGTTAGACTTTCCACATCAGCTAGAACACTGGAATCATTTTTGCTTTCTGCTACATCCAGGTGTTTGTGGACACACATGACCCATTTTCTTGCTAAGTGTGTGTGTTTCTCCCTCTCCCAGGATTTTGACATTGCAGGCCAGTACGACCCCATGATCCCAGACGCTGAGTGCCTGAAGATCGTCCACGAGATCCTGAGTGAGCTGGAGCTGGGAGATTTCCGCATCAAGGTAGGTCAGAGCGACACACAGCACCCACGGTCAAACATCTTGAGATGCAATATGAAGCAAGGAATTGATGAAAGGTGTGTATATGTGTAGCCATACTCCTATCTCTCCCCCCCACCATAATATCCTCTCTGTGCAGGTGAATGACAGACGTATTCTAGATGGAATGTTTGCAGTGTGTGGAGTTCCGGATGACAAGTTCCGTACCATCTGCTCCACAGTGGACAAACTGGACAAGGTAAACCCACTGCACCCAACCCAAACCTTATGTGGTTAAGGAAATGGAATGCTAAACAGTAAACATGAACAATGTTGTAATATGCAAACCAAGTAAATAAAGGATACAATTTCTCCCTTATTTTCTCCACCCTTTTCTATGCGTCTCCCTGCTTTTCTCTCCTATCTTTGTGGTCTTTCCTCGTCCAACCCCCCCTCCCCCCCCAGATGTCGTGGGAGGATGTGAGGAGTGAAATGGTGAAGGAGAAGGGTCTGTCTGAGGAAGCAGCCGATCAGATCGGACAGTATGTCAGCTTGCAGGGTGAGGACAGGTCACACACAGACTGACCTTTGAACTTTCCCCTGGTCTGACCCTGTCTGTGATTGTTGTGTGTTCCAGGGGGGATGGACCTAGCTGAGCGCCTGCTGCAGGATGCTAAGATGTCGCAGAGCAAGCAGGCATGTGCCGGCCTCACAGACATGAAGCAGCTCTTCAGCTACCTGCAGCTCTTCCAGGTTACAGACAAGGTGAGGGGTCAGATCTGACAGGTTGTCTGGTGACCAAAGTGATATGACTGAGGTAATGCGTCTCTATGGAAATCTGTCCATCAACAGCCTACTCCGTAGAGGCATTTAGTTCTCAATGAACAGCAATAGTTTTTTTGGGTCAATGGTTATGTAGATATGTGTGATGATATGATCAGCTGAAATAAGTCAGAGGATTCAGTCCCTTTTTCCAAATCACTCATCTCGTGTTCCTTCCTACTGTCTCCTCTCAAACTATCCTCTCCCAGGTGGTGTTTGACCTGAGTCTGGCTCGTGGGTTGGACTACTACACGGGTGTGATTTATGAGGCCATTCTGACCCAGACCAGCCCGGTCCCCATTGCGGCGGCCCAGAACGGGGTGGGTGAGAAGGCAGAGGAAGGCGTGAGCGTGGGCAGCGTGGCGGGCGGCGGGCGCTACGACGGCCTGGTGGGCATGTTCGACCCTAAGGGCAGGAAGGTGCCGTGTGTGGGGGTCAGCATCGGCATTGAGAGGGTCTTCTCCATCATGGAGCAGAAGGCTGAGGTAAGGAATGGGGACGGGGCATTATCAAACAGCCAGCTCTCCCCACAGGGTGGTCTGTTCATAAGTGTCATAGAGAAACTGTGTGTGTCTGACTGGTGTGTTGGGGTCTGGCTCCCCAGGCATCGGCGGAGAAGGTGCGCACCACAGAGACTCAGGTCATGGTGGCCTCGGCACAGAAGAACCTTCTGGAGGAGAGACTCAGACTGACCGCTGAACTGTGGAATGCTGGGATCAAGGTAAGTGTGTGTGTTCGATTTTAGATTGATGACACAGTGAGTTAGATAGTGCGTGTGTAGAGTTGATTTCCACTGCTGATACGGCTGAGTGTGGGCAGTGGCTATTCATAAGAGGAACCTTATATAACTGACATGACCGTGTGTTGTCAGGCAGAGGTGATGTATAAGAAGAACCCCAAGCTGCTGAGCCAGCTGCAGCACTGTGAGGACACTGGGATCCCCCTGGTGGCGATCCTGGGGGAGCAGGAGCTCAAGGACGGGGTTGTGAAGCTCCGAACGGTCAACAGCCGAGAGGAGGTGAGATTCTCTCACACACACACACACACACACACACACACTTGAATAAAACACCACCCCTCACACGTTTCTGTTTTTTTTTCTCTCAGGTTGACGTGTCCAGAGCCGAACTAGTGGAGGAGATCAAGAGAAGGACCTCAGACGTCTAAGTTATGGATTTGCCTGACAACACCCCGCTTCATCACCCGATTGGTCCAAAAAGTTGTTTACCACAGGTCTCACCGCTGAGCACCCAAAGCCCTCAACATGCCAACCAAGACATCAAGTCTCAACTGCGGAATTTGTCAAGATTACCCAATAGTTTCACTTGTCCAGGCCTCGCATATTAGTGGTCTCAAAAGGCAGTGGTTTCATGCAGACTACCCAGACACCTGCGTACCCTCAAGGACGAGGAACTTTGATAATGTACATAAGACAATAGTATGACATGGGTAACATTGCAATAGTCACTGTATTAGCCTTAGTCTGAGCCCTAAAGGTTAAAATGCCTGTCCTATCAGAATGCCAATAAACTGATATTTAACTCTGCCTTAAGAGATTGATTTACAACCGGTGTATCCAACAGCAGGCCTGCGGGTCTATTTAATGTGGCCTGTCGTGTCTTGGAATAACTAAACCAGAAACTAAAATTACAATAGTAAAAACATTGGCCTGCAACAATCACTACACAGTCGGAGAGCATCAGATATTCCAAAAACAATGACATGTTTCCCGTGTTTTACTAAAAGGGAATGTTAGTTGGTTTCCAGCATCCTGAAAAGACGCAGCAGTATGTACAGTTGAAGTCGGAAGTTTACATACACCTTAGCCAAATACATTTAAACTCTGTTTTTCACAATTCCTGACATTTCATCCTAGTAAAAATTCCCTGTCTTAGGTCAGTTAGGATCACCACTTTATTTTAAGAATGTGAAATGTCAGAATAATAGTAGAGATTTAATTCAGCTTTTATTTCTTTCATCACATTCCCAGTGGATCAGAAGTTTACATACACTCAATTAGTATTTGGTAGCATTGCCTTTAAATTGTTTAACTTGGGTCAAACGTTTCGGGTAGCCTTCCACAAGCTTCCCACAATAAGTTGGGTGAGTTTTGGCCCATTCCTCCTGACAGAGCTGGTGTAACTGAGTCAGGTTTGTAGGCCTCCTTGCTTGCACACACTTTTTCAGTTCTGCCCACAAATGTTCTATAGGATTGAGGTCAGGGCTTTGTGATGGCCACTCCAATACTGTGACTTTGTTGTCCTTAAGCCATTTTGCCACAACTTTGGAAGTATGCTTGGGGTCATTGTCCATTTGGAAGACCCATTTGTGACCAAGCTTTAACTTCCTGACTGATGTCTTGAGATGTTGCTTCAATATATCCACATAATTTTCCTTTCTCATGATGCCATCTATTTTGTGAAGTGCACCAGTCCCTCCTGCAGCAAAGCACCCCCACAGCATGATCCTGCCACCCCCGTGCTTCACGGTTGGGATGGTATTCTTCGGCTTGCAAGCCTTCCCCTTTTTCCACCAAACATAACGATGGTTATTATGGTCATTGGTTCATCAGACCAGAGAACATTAATCCAAAAAGTACGATCTTTGTCCCCATGTGCAGTTGCAAACCTTAGTCTAGCTTTTTTATGGCGGTTTTGGAGCAGTGGCTTCTTCCTTGCTGAGCGGCCTTTCAGGTTATGTCGATATAGGACTCGTTTTACTGTGGATATAGATACTTTTGTACCTGTTTCCTCCAGCATCTTCACAAGGTCCTTTGCTGTTGTTCTGGGATTGACTTTTTTTCCTGAGGTCTTGGCTGATTTTCTTTTGATTGTCCCATGATGTCAAGCAAAGAGTCACTGAGATTGAAGGTAGGCCTTGAAATACATCCACAGGAACACCTCCAATTGACCCAAATTATGTCAATTAGCCTATCAGGAGCTTCTAAAGCCATGACATCATTTTCTGGAATTTTCCAAGCTGTTAAAAGGCACAGTCAATTTAGTGTATGTAAACTTCTGACCCACTGGAATTGTGAGACAGTTAATTATAAGTGAAATATTCTGTCTGTAAACAATTGTTGGAAAAATAACTTGTCATCCAAAGTAGATGTCATAACCGACTTTGCAAAACTAGTTTAACAAGAAATTTGTGGAGTGGTTGAAAAAACAAGTTTTAATGACTCCAACCTAAGTGTATGTAAACTTCCGACTTCAACTGTAAATCCTTAAATGTACATTTGTTGAGCTGAACTAACAGTCAAGCCATTCTGAGTCGGTGTGTTCATTGTTGACAGGTGTCTTCTCACAAGGAGTGGATGTAACCCTAGTCTGTTGCTGCCTCTCCAGGATGCGCCCAACCACTAACAGTGTTCCCTAATAGTACAAGGGTTACATCCAGTCCTTGAGAAAAGACCTCAACAAATATACATTCATGGAATCCATGGGGATATTTGAGATGTATAATACCTATCACCCTGAACTGCATATTACGGACAGACAAAACAACTGCAAGACATTTATTACAAATATCATTTTATTCAAATGAGAAACCAGCCTATACAAGGGTGCAAGTGGTTCAGAAACATGGAAAAGTCAAATCATGCATCTACTCACAATTTACTACATATAAAAGAGTGCAAAACACACAAAAAGTATTTTCACAATTAAAACATGAGTATGAGTAGCAGCTCTGTGCCTCATACAGAAAGGGGGGTGATATCAGGCCCTGTACAGAGCGCTGCTGGGCTGTAGCTCTGCGAGCCGCATCCTGTATGGCTCCAGGGTTGGGGCCGAGCAGAGTCTGCACCATCCCAGTGAAGGGTGTGGCCAGCCCCGGCACGTACACCCGGTAGCTGATGCACTGGAACCCGTCAGGCCCCATGTGGCGGTACTGCAGGCCGTAGAGGGGCTCACCCCGCCTGTACAACTCACACATACCCTGTAGCAGAGCGGCTGCATCCACAGGAGGCACCTTGGACACCCCCCTGGGGGAAACAGAAGCAGCGTGCACCATGGGAGAGGGCCCCCCCACAGCCCGGGAGAACACAGGGGGCTGAGGCTGGGTGAGGCGCGGGGTCAGCAGGGGAGATCGGGGCTGTTGAGGAGGAAGCGGAGGGGGGAGGTGGGGGGTCTGGAAGGCTCGTCTTGCTTGGGCCTAGCAGTGGACTGCCACTTCACAGTAATGGCCAGTCCGAAGCGCTTCTTAAAGGCTGCAGAAATGGGGAGAGATGCGAGCATTTCAAATGTAAACGAGATGCTAACAGAAAGCGGTGTGTACTCTGAATCTCCATGACGACCCTGGCCTACCTTCGATCAGCACCTTCTTGGCCATGCAAGCTGCATGGTGGGAGGCGTAGACCACCACTGCAGACACACACTCTTCCCCAGGCCCCACCCTCAAGGACCCCCCCTCCCCAACCCCAGACAAGTCCTGCAGCACCTGCAGGTGGGACACAAATTACACAGAACAAACACGCCCAGAAAAATTCAGCCATTTTTGTAATATTCTATTTCTACATGTTTCATCCACACCACCCCACCCCACCGGTTCCCTCCTGACCTGCAGCAGTTGCTCCCTCCCCGTGTTGGTGGGAAACTCCCCCAGGCAGAGTTGCCGTTTCTCTGTGCTGCGCCGGACACTGAGGCGTGCACCCAGCTCCAGGTTGTGGCCGTGCAACGAGCGGCGGCGGCAGCAGAGGTGGGGCTGCTGTACTTGGCATAGGCGAAGCCGCGGTTCTGTCCGCTGAAGTTCACCATGAGGCGGAATCCCAGAGCGGGCCCACGCGCGGATCAGCTGGTCCTCGAAGACGTCCCGTGGGATCTGGCTGATGAACACCTCACAGCCCGGCCCAGGGGGGCACCCCGCCAGTCAACCACCAGGTAGAGCAGTGGAGTCAGGAGTGGCTTCACTAGATTGGTGAGTTATTTTTTCTCCCTACCCCTTTGATGTTTACAGATTAGAAGGGTATTATTAGGTATAAGCAGTGTAGTGGAGAAACTTCCACCATATTTTTTCCACTTTACAGAGGTGCCCAGGTGATTTTGCTTTCATTCCAATAGTGGAAAGACGACGGCCCCCATGCACTTACCACAAATTCCTTGTTTTGCTAAATTCGTCTTATTTTACATTGCTCTCCGTTACTGTTTTTAGGTATAGTCATTAGGACAGTGTACGTCATGATCCCAATTGTAGCTTCAAGGCACCGGCAATTTGAAAAAGGTCGATTGTGCCGATTTATTGGCACATTGAACCATGTTGCGCGCCGTAGTTTCAAAACTCAATGTATATAGTGCTAAAACAATGACATATCTGAATTCTGCCATCTTTATGCACGTTTCGCCATTGGCTTGTCAATCTGCTCCCTGTAAATGAGTTCCCTGTGTGTGAGCTGATCACTGCAAAACCAACAGGTGTGTCTTTAGGGCGTGATGAGGATAAATGCCTATGGCCATAATATGCTTTGTTGGAGGTGGAGTAGGCATATTACCAAGTCTACAGTTCTTCATACATTGAAGAATGGATATCCCAACAACATAAGCCATCTGATGACTACCACAAAGCAGGAGAGCATTTAGAGGACCATGACCATGTTTAGGGTCCAATAAGCCATACATAAAGCAACTCACCATCAGGATGACCACAATATTTCAATTGATTTGCATAGGCCTACTGCTGCTTTGAGATCAAAACAATAATTATCTGCAGATATGCTACAAAATTATGATATAAAGATGGTGAATCCTCACGGCAGAAACAATTAGTGGGGAGAGCGCGTACATTCTGGTCCACGCTCATTTTTGTAGTGTGTTAAAGGGAAACTATCACGACTCAGAATATGACACAGGAGGAGAATAATTCGATTCTCATAATATAATAAAGGGGCAGGTCGAGGGCACCTGGTGAGGGTGGAGACAAGCACAAGACAGGTGAAACAGATCAGGTTGTGACAGAAACTTAGTTTTTGCAGGTGATCTAATAATTTGGCCTGGGAAAAATGTATTTGAACGCACATTTCACGATCTGACAATGGTAGCCTACTTTTTGAAATTTACATTAGAGATTGGTTCTAAAAATCATGGTTCTAGTTCAATTTAAGCGTTTTGAATGAAGAGCCGTTTGGGAGTCAAATGGGCCTGCCAGCTCACCGATTAAACTCAATGCCATCACTACTTGATGAAAGATCAATAGACTAGCCAATACACCAGCCAATTAGCTGCTTTTGCAAACAGGCCTAGAGAATCGAAAAAAGTTAAACATTTTGCGCCCTTCATAATATAACCAGAAACACTTTGGGTGATGCTGACAAATAATTAAGTTAAGGATGTTGAAGTGAATGGACACTTTTTTTCGGTGAAAAAATAAACATTCACGCGCAAAAGGCATTGCACAACATTGTCCAGTGTGTGTGCAAATTACACTAATGCCAGCAAAACTAGTGAACTGCTTTAGAAACATGTACATGGAACGTTATGTCAATCAACAATGCTTAAAAACATTAACGGTATAAATCATTTTAGTTTAACTGGCTTGAGCGCTTCTCCATCA